TACCAAGGCTATGATTTGATGTCTTCAAGTTCAATAGCACAACAGCATGCATCAATAAGTTTTGTCCAAGTAAGGAAAAACCTTGATTAATTATTTAATCTTATATATATTAGTTTGATAATTTACAATTATAATTCAATATATTGGCTAACTTTGGGTCTGTTTTTATAGGCGCAAGAACTTGAAAATAATGATGATTCTGATCAACAAGTTGTTGAAAATGGGAAAATTGAATGAAGATGCTTATGAAGAAATGGAGGACAAGACTGTGGGATTGCGCTCATGGATTAATTAGACCTTATTTGTGTAGTTCTTTTGATTATGGTGGATGATCAGCTTGGTTATTCTTGAGCTTGATAGCTGGAATTGGATCTTTTTATCTCTGAGATTTTACATGGTAGGATTGTAGCTTAATTCGAATAACATACATTTTGAACTTTAATAAGAACCAGAATGCAGCCTTATTCCACTTTGCGCAGTTGAAATCTCAATTGATTTAAGTTGATTAATGTTTTGCTTTTTAGACTTCGTGGTCTGTTTACATTGCATTGTGAATACAAGGATCCTAATGCCTGGGCTACCTTTCGTCTGTGAAATTGCACGTAGTTTGTTTCCATTTATAAAAATCTATAGGGACACTCCCAGGATTTATTTGGCCATGAATTTCGTACCAGGTTGATGAGGTTTCACTGATGGAAGAGACTAATTAGATGCTAAGTTTCACAACTCACTACATACAGGGATGGCAAGGGTGAGAATATGACTGATCAGATTTTGATTTTGAGTGGCCTTTTCTGCTAGGAATAATTTTCTTTGTTTGAGTTTTATTTAGTGGGTAATTGACCAGAATTATCTGAAACTGATGCATGGTATAATATTGGACCCGAACGAGAGACCTCTGCTCTCTCTCCATCCTTTTTTTTTAACTCATTTTTTGTGTCATTCATGTTAAAGGTACTCCGAAAACTTGTTCTCTGATTCTAAACAACTCGGGACCAATCTCGTATTTGACTGTTGACACCAAATTGTATATATAATCCATATAACAATGCTGAAATTCCCAAAATATGTCCATAAACTAGGCCCTGTACACCTTTGCACCCTTCTCTTTAGCACATTGAGCCATCCAACTCACAGTCTGGCTCCCATGGTCAAACATATTCAACAGCCTCTTGTTCGAATGGGAAGGATAAGATTCAGCAACAATTTAAATGCAGATCCTCTACTAATAGTAAAAACAAGTACAAACTCATTCTCAAGAATGTTCAAGTAATCCATAATTTTGGTTTTAATATCATGCTCCACAGTACCTTCCTCTGCACACCAATGAAGTACATGATTGCTCAAATTTGCAGTAATTTCCTTTAAGCTAAATATAGATGAATCCCAATACTGTAGCGTTTGAAAACAAAAAAACAACCCGTACAAAGTCAATTCTCAAATGGTCAATTGTTTCTCAACATTGGAACTTTGGGTACAAAGTCAAGAACCAACAAGAAGGCTTCATTAAAGCCAGGAATGGATTCTTCAATGCAAAATGTCCTTTCAGACAAAAGAGTAGTTGCCCTCAAGAATTCCTTCTGGGCATTAAGCCTTGCAAGAGATATTGACCTTCCCAAGCAGCCATCTTGATTCAAAGACTCAGAGTGAATTTCATGTGTTTTTACGAAGTGACCCATCTTCAGAAGCCTCCTCGAGAGCCTCCCTTAGTTTGTTCTCCGGCGAATTCTTGAGAGTTGATGGCTCTGCCTTACCCCACTCCTCCTCCTCCACGCAAGAACCTTTTCCTCTCCTGCTCTTCTTGTCCATCATCAAGGTTGCACAGAATGATATAGGCTTCCATAGTCTCAGATGCAGTAACACGAATCAGTTCCAGTTGACTGCAAAAACCTATCATCATATCAGATACCCCTGCAGTATTAGGGAAAAAGTTACAAGCTTTACATGATTGAAGCTTCATTATGCATAACATTCTGCAAATAAGAGATTACAATTATCTAAGTTACATAATTTTCATAAACATTGAACTTTGTAAACAGTAACAATGAAGTGAATGAATACATAAACCCTGTAACTAGTCACACTAATGCATGTCAAGATGGCACCTCTATCCATATAGACCAAAACCAGAAAACCATTTGAGAAAACAGTGATCACACATGTTTCTTGGCTTTAATTCATAGTTACAGAATAAAAAAAAGAGCTTTTTTTTTAGAAGCACTTACCTTTAGGCCTTATCAGGTTTTAGATGATCTCATCTGCCAAAGACAGAGATAGATTTCCCAAATGAAACCAGCAGGTTGACCAATAATACTACTACGACTAATCAAGATTATGAATCAAAGACCATCCATTCATTGTTGATCAATAATACTACGACTAATCTAAGATTATGAATCAGCATTTGATAAAAATTTCAACTCATGGACTAATTATCAAATGCATCAAATAAAATTGCGACACGAAAGAGTAGAAGGGAGACAAGGATCGCATGTGCCAGCACAAAAAGGTAACCATCATGCAAACTTTAACATATTTTCTAACTACTAATTACAAGCCTACAGGTAGTCCTAATAAACAAAATCAAACGTATAAAACGCAAAACACCCTCCTAATAAATATGGGCTCAAGTCTCAACCAAGTCAGACTTTTACCTTATAGTTTGATTCATCTTCCTCTTAGGCATTTGATCGAACAGCTGGTGAGCTTCGTCCAGTACATACCGAATTTTCAGAAAATTTAACAGATGAAACATTTGAAGTGGAAGCTGCAAATTAGAAGAAAAATTCCCTTAATCAGCAAAAGATAAAGGCAAACTTGTTACCCTCTAGTTTCATCATCTACACCTAAGTTCCAAAACGCTAAAACAGAGACACTAGAGAATATAACCAATTTATTACTACTACACACATGCAGTTGAGGATATAGCAAAACTAATTCAACTGTGTGTATCTATACCAATTTGAAGTTGAAAACTAGATCAAGTGCCTAAGCTAAGCAAATTACATCAAATTGGCCTGCGTAGCTAGAAAGAAAAAAAAGCAACACAAATAAAAAAAAAACCGCAACCGAGAGAACAAAAAATGAAACCGCAATAAACTCGTCCAATAGGCACTAAAAAGCAATCTGGATTTTCTAGAAAGGCAAAAGATAAAGATAGCATCTTGATACCCGATACTAGTTTCAATTGCTTCAGTGGAGTGAATGCCATGCTTCGGCGGAGCGCAGGTGACAATTTTGAAAAAGCCGTTGGAATTCCATCGATGGGTTGGAGGGGGGAAAAGGGAAATGGATTTTGAGGAATCCGAAGGAGGAAGAAGAAGAGTCGTCAGTGAAGCAGAGGCTGAAACAACCGTAAGAGTACGGTGAAGATGATGAAGAGAGGACAGAGATTTTTTAATATTTTAGGGTTTTTTTCGTTGATAAACTGTGATTTTGATTAAAAAGTTTTTATTTTTCTTGGTTTTGGTTATAATGGTTAAAGGGATTAAGTTTCTTCGCCCGATTAATCGATTAATTAACTTAATATGGTTCGAGTTGGGCTGTTTGAGGGTTTGGTTTATTAAGGGACACTTGGCGAAATTCTAAGGAATGAGACAGGATGTGAGATAGGGTGTGGTACAGAAGATCCGTTGCGCAAGTTGAAAACATGTCACCGAGGATCCTAAGTGTCCTCTGTCGAATATTTTCTACCCACTTTTCTATTCAATACAAAATTATACAGTTGTTATAAAACTAATAAAATAAACCACTATAATATCAAGTGAAATATTGGAGATATTAGAGAAAAAAGTAGAGAAATAAAGAGTGGTTATTTTATTATTCCAACTAATACAAAAGTCCTACCAAAGGGTGTCAATGTACCTCTATATATAGGTACTACAAGATTAAAGGAACATTAATCCTATTAAACACCCACTATTACAAGAATATGAAGAAACCTATGAAACGGTTCTTCCACTACATGAATAGATTTATGGATTGTAACTTCTATACATAATGTAGCCATTAAGCAAGAATTAATCTTCTTGGGAATACAAAGGGACATCCATACTTTTAATTGTTTCATAACAACAGTTTCATTTATTACATCTGTTGTTGTTGACGTGGCATTTTCTATTCAATACAAAATTATACAATTTCACTTATTACATCTGTTGTTGTTGATGTGGCATATAAAAAAAAAAAAAGGCTATTTGGCTTCTTTTTTTATTTTTATTTTTCGATTTTTTTATTTACACAACTTTGTTATAATTCTCAAAACTCTATTGCTATTGTTACAATTTTCAAAATTTGTTGCCACCAATATTGTTTTCTGCCTAGAAGGTGAACGAAGTTTTTCAATAAAATAATTTTTTTTTTGGTGTAAGTGAAAATAAATAATTTTGGAAAGTTCATTTTCATTAAGTTTAATAAATTTCGTTACATTTACAATTTAATTCAAAATATAAAAAATCGTGTTGTATGTTTTGAAATCATGAAAGACTTTTCTGTATTTTAAATTTATCACAGAAAATTTTTTGTTTTTTACCCTGAAAAAAAAGACTATGCTCAAAATCAATCCAACAAACATGTAAATCCCCGCAAAGTATATAAACTTGTACTTGGCTAGTTCATCAGGAATGTATGTGTAAGTCAAAATATTGTACACCTGATCAGCACAAAAGTGAAACCGTATTTGTTCACATAAGGACACAATTCATGCATTCATTTCAAAAATACTCCACGATATCCCACAAATGGCCAAATTAAGCGGGTGAAAAATACACGCAACAACCACTAAGCCCAAAATTTTTACTATCAATTTACCAGTTACTGTCAATTATGAACCATCTAAAGTACAGTATCAAGAGGAACCTAACGACACATCGAATAAAACAAATTTTTACATTAGTTGAAAATTTAAATTGAGGATAAGATATTCAGCAAATGCAGCAACTAAACATTAGGTTGAAATGGCTAGAAGACTAGAATTAAACCCAAAAAAAAAAAAGGGATAGATTGCAGAACAAAACAAAAGTCTGTTCACTTCTCAGACACAAATTATAATCACGACAGCAGCAAAACAGATAGATGTTCATACAAGCACCTCAACCAATTTACACTTTTTAATCTTTGTCTTTTTCACTGTCCAGATGTTTTCCAACATTAAAGAAACATTTCACACAAAATTACCCTGTCCTCCACAAGGCTCAGAACCCGACATTATTTAACCGGAGATCTCAATGGCCTTAACCCCAGGCTTCTTCACTTGCTCTTTCGGTACAGTGATGGTGAGCACGCCATTCTCCATACCAGCCTTCACCTGATCCAACTTGGCATTCTCTGGCAGCCTGAACCTGCGCAGGAACTTGCCGCTGCTCCTCTCTATCCTATGCCACTTGTCGTTCTTCTCCTCTTGCTCGCGGCTCCTCTCTCCGCTAATCTGCAACACCCGCCCGTCTTCAACTTCCACCTTCACTTCCTCTTTCTTCAGCCCTGGAAGATCGGCTTTGAAGACATGGGCTTCTGGGGTCTCTTTCCAATCAATGCGGGCGCTTGCAAATGCTGATGTCTCCCTTGCCGTATTTGGGACGTTGGCCAGACTGGCGTCTGAGAAAGGAAAGGAATCCCAAATGTCAAGAGAGAATGGGTCGAAAACGTTGCTTCGTCGGCCGCCGAAGATGCTTGGTATGAGCGACATTCTTTTTTTGTTTTTTCCGAGATAATGGGAGATTTGACGACGAATAGGTTTTCAAGATAACTGAGTTGTGCTGAGTCGGGATGAATATTCTGCGATGACAAAACAGGGGAGGAAGCTTGGCATTTATAGTTTAGACTTTAGAGGAGGGGAGGGGAGAGCCGGAGACCAGACGCCTGGAGTTTTCCTGAAGCTTCTTGTCGCTGTCACATTACCCGAGGAGCAAGTCTTTTGCTTTTTCTACGAACTTTCTACAATCACCCCTTTTTGCGTCTGGAGAACTCTGGACATCTCCAAATTCAAAAATTTTGGGAATTGAGGCCCAGTGTATTCTTGGGCTGTTTTGTTGTGGACTTTCTGGGTTTATCCAGACTTTTCAGAATTTGAAGCAACGAAATCATGCTTGCAAAATTCTTGGGAAAAAAAAAAACCAGAAACAAAAAATGGTGACACACATTTTGTACTTTTTAAACCGGTAAAGCGGTACATTTTTTTTCCCTTTTCTGATGTATATTTTTTTCTCATATATGGTACACCTGTCAAATAAAGAAGTGAATATGTATATTAAGTCAAATTGGAACTCTTTTCACATTATTGTTCCCCTCCAACAAGTTTAACATATTTGTCTTCTTTAATTTCTCTTTTTATATTAAAATATTATTGTTATAACTTTAATGCATTTAGCGCACATACATTAGTAAAGGTAAGGAAAATACTACACAAATTGGAAACAATTGACAAATAAAAGGAAATTCAATCATTCTATTTATACATGCATGCTTGTTGAGGTATTAATCAAAAGCCAGGCACCTAAACCAACGATCTAAAAATCAAGCAAAGCAAGCATCCATTCATTCCCAAATTGGTTCAACTCGTTTCAAATATCCATTCTTCACGAAGCTTCACCTTTTTCAAGTCTAAATTTTTCTTTACAATTCTTTTATATTTTAATTCATAATTATTAATTATTCCAACAGAGTAACACTTATTTTAATGTTGTGATTTAGAAAATCTTTTGATGATTATTAATTTGTGAATTGTTCTCATTCTAAATTTGTAGCTTAAATTTTTTGTGTGAATTTGTATAGGGTTAAAATTCATTTGTTAAATTTAGTTGACGTTTATCTGATTTTCGTTTTGTGAATTAATTTTCATGTTTTGCTTTGTCCTTTTTCTTGTATTATTAAAGAATATTTAGTTATTCATTATCATCTATTAAACTTCAATCTTCAAAACTCTGATTTTACGTATGTGCGACTAAAAACATGCCTCTGGGCAGCCGCTAGTAAAACAAGTGATGAATGTATACAGGCAGAGAGCGTCTAATCAACAGATTTTGGTCAGAGAAAATGATTGGTTCTAAGATAATATATTCAGAGCCATATAATAAATAAAAGCAAATTAACATTACAGGGCAGAGCACGCGAATGCACATAAAAGCTGATTCTACAAACCCCAAGTCCAACCCCCCCTTCTCTCTCCCATCAAAGCAGGATTTTTTCTTATGGTAAAAGATACAGTACCATCCACATGAAAACAACTCACGACGTACATATGCATCAAAGTTTTTAACCAGAAATTTTGATGGCCTTAACTTCAGGCTTCTTCTCCTCCACTTTAGGCACGGTAACGGTCAGCACGCCATTCTCCATGCTCGCCTTAATTTCCTCTGTCTTTGCATTCTCCGGCATCCTGAAGCTTCGGATAAACTTGCCGCTGCTCCTTTCCACACGATGCCAAGTGTCAGTCTTCTCCTCCTGCTCCCTGCTCCTCTCTCCGCTGATCTTCAGGATTCTACCATCTTCCACCTCGACTTTGACCTCCTCTTTCTTAAGCCCAGGAAGATCAGCCTGAACGATGTGGGCTTCTGGGGTCTCCCTCCAGTCAACCCTGGCGTTAGTAAAAACAGCCGTTTCACGATCAGTGCCGCTGGGGAAGTTGGCTAGAGTCCTCGAGAACGGAAATCCCTCAAACGGATCCCATATGTCGAGAGAGAAAGGATCGAAGATATTGCTTCGCCGGCCGCCGAAGATGCTCGGAACCAAAGCCATCAGAATTTTGCAAGAGATTTGTGCTCTGGACTATTTGGTTTGAGGACTTGACTGGATTTACCTAAGGCAATGACTAATTCTGTCTGAGGGTGGAAGGCATCAAGAAGTGAAGAGCTATATATACAAGGGACAGATGATGATCCGGTATTGTCTAGAATATTCTTATCGCACCAAAAAAATGGAAAAAGTCTCGTCACTTTCCACAAACTTCCACGAGCTTCGAGATTTTGGTTTCACTACTCCACCAGAACGGTGTCCACGTGTCTCCAGAGATATCTGTTGATAGTGTATCTCAATATATTTGGGCTTATGGTTTGTTGTTGAGCGGCGACCACTTAATTAGAAGAGGCCCAATGGATTGTCGATGGAAGCAACACAAGCCCGACATAAGGTGAAATAAGCCCGACATAACTCTCTCTCTCTCTCTCTCGATATATATATATATATATATATATGTATATATAAAGCTAGAGATATTGAGTAATTTAGCAATGACTAATATTCACTCTCAACAACCTTAAGAAAAGATAAAAGTCATATTATCTATCTATCTGTAGTAAACTTTGGTAATCTGCCGAAGTCGTCTTCCCTTGTTGACTTTGCAGACGGGAAAAATAACATTGAACTCCCTCAAACTGCCGTTTCATTGGGTGAGTAACGAGCCACAGAAAACTATTAGCTCAAATTTGGTGACTGGTGGTGAGCATGCAAAATCACAACACAGACACGGGGGTACGAAATTTTGGTATTAGGACGGGTTTTAACTCAAACGTTCAAATTTCTTGAGAGAATGAATGAAGCCAATTAACTATAAAAAAATGCTCTATATGCAGCTACAAATCATGCGACAATCAACGCACCCCTCCCTGCATGACAAATAGCTGGTTGAAGCAGGCGGCTGTATATTACTATTTCTTCGGGGGGAGAAAACAAACTGCTTTTTTCGCTATGTGTATCCTTCCATGTAACGCCAACTCGAGTCATTGATTCTGAAACAAGACCATACGGTGGAGAGTTGGAAATGGGGAACAGTCCAATAAAACTACAAATGTCATTTAATTTTGTTCAGTTTATGTGTCCTTGAAGAAAATTGATCACGGAAATTCACCAGCTCAAACTACATTTTGTCTTAGAAAACTTGAAGAATTCATGTCTACACGCACTCGTTCTTGGAATTTGGTAATTGTGTAAGTCATGAGTGCACGAGATCCTAAGCTGTGAAGCATCGTGCATCCACTTATTTAGTAGTAAAATCAAATCAATTATCCCTGCCTGAAGCATCCTTTCAGATCCTAGTGTACTGAGGCTCCTAAAAGAGGAGAGAACTAGTTATTGTGAGCAACTACTGCCACGACTTGAAGCTGCAAAAACTGGACGTAGTTATTACTTTGAATATTGTATAGCGGCGGTTAAAATCAACATGTATTAGTGTTAAATTTCGACAGTATCAACTCTTATGCCCAGAAATGAGAAACCACCGGGGCATGTCACTTGCTCATTTCTCCAAATAATAAAACACCGATGATGACTGGTTAATAGTTTCTTCCCAAAGAATAAATAAATAAATTGGAAAAACAGGACGTAGTTGTTAATGGCAATAACTCACTGATGAGAGACTTCATGACATCACACCTCTCGAGAGGCCTCTGATCAACCAACCGACCAATGAGATCTCCTAGTATTTTATTATTAGCATAATCAAGGAGGGTTGACTTTGATCGTTTTATGATCAAAATCATCAGAGTATGAGTTGTTTAACCGTTCAACGATTAGGATCGTCTGTGTTAAGAGAAACTGATGTTGCAAATGGGTTCTGAAAAAGCAAACTTACCACCTCATGTTCTCATATTTCCCTTGCCAATCCAGGGCCATGTCAACTCCATGCTCAGGCTGGCGGAACTTCTTTGTCTCGCTGGATTAGACGTAACTTACATTGTCTCCGACTTTTGCCATAACCGCCTCCTCACGCACACTAATGTGTCGTCGCATTTTGCTCGCTATCCTGGCTTTTCTTTCCAAACCATATCCGATGGGCTTCCAGATGACCACCCCAGAGCAGGTGAGGGATTTGTGGATATCATGCCCGCTATAAAAATGGTGACAGGGCCGCTATTTAAGCGGATGATGATCGAGAAAGGTTGCTTTGCTTCTTCTGGTGCCCGAAGTCCTGTTACTTGCATCATTGCTGATGGAGTCTTGAGTTTTGCCGGTGATTTTGCTGAAGAGAACGGAATTGCCCTCATCTATTTTCGCACCGTTAGCGCCTGCTCATTTTGGGCCTGCTTTTGTATGCCTCAAGTCATTGAAGCTGGAGAAATACCCCTTAAAGGTAGTGGAGTACAAAATTTGATCACGCGTAGATTTTTACATCAAAGTGTGTCATTCATTGTGTCTATTGTCGTTGATATATCTATATTGACAGATTTATCAGGTGCAGCAAGTTTTAGCATAAATTAATTTGGTGTCTGTATACCCCTTATTATCACACCCAAGAGGTTGACGGCACACCCAAATATGCAGGACATGGAATGGAACTGGCAGTCAAAAGCGTCCCAGGAATGGAAAATATTCTTCGGCGTCGGGACCTGCCTGGTTTTTATCGTGTCGACGATCTGGACGACACTACTTTCCAAATAATCAAAACGGAGACTCAGCAAACCCCGCGAGCCCAGGCGGTGATACTGAACACATTTGAAGACTTAGAGGGACCAATATTATCTCACATTCGTAAACACATGCCAAGATTATACACAATCGGACCAAATCATTTTCACCTGACGGCCAGGCTGGGAGCAAAAGCAACAGAGACTGAAACTTTAATTTCTTCAGCCAGTTTATGGGAAGAAGACAGGAGCTGCTTGGACTGGCTTGATTCACAGCCTCCAAAATCGGTAATTTACGTCAGCTTCGGGAGCATTACGGTTGTGAGAAGAGAGCAACTCCTGGAATTTTGGTACGGACTGGTGAATAGTGGGCAGAGGTTCTTGTGGGTCGTCAGACCTGATTCCATTATGGGAGAAGCCGGCGGAGGTAAGATTCCAGCCGAGCTAGAAACGGCTACAAAAGCAAGGGGTTATATGGTGGGTTGGGCCCCGCAGCTAGAAGTCCTGAATCATCCTTCTGTTGGGGGATTTTTGACCCATGGTGGTTGGAATTCGACTCTGGAGAGTATGGCGGCCGGCGTGCCAATGTTATGTTGGCCATATTTTGCCGACCAAACGATCAATAGCAGGTTTGTGAGTGAAATTTGGAAGATTGGATTGGACATGAAAGATACATGCGACAGAGTCATCATCCAGAAAATGGTGGCAGAACTCATGCACGCGAGGAAGGATGAATTCTTGAGAAGGGCAGATGCCATGGCAAAATTGGCAAGAAAGGCTGTTACTCAAGGTGGTACTTCGTATAATAACTTGGACAGCCTCGTTGAGTTTATTGAATCTACTATTATCTGAAAAGGACATGGCTTTGATGTGTTTTTCTTGTTTAATTTCTTCTTTTTTTTCCTGCAAATTAAAATGTTTTCACCAATAATGGTGGTATTCTAAACCAACTGCTTATGGTTTATATTGGAGATTGATAATTTCATGCTTGCCATTAAGAGATTAGAGATTTTAGGACTAGAGTTTTGGGGGTTGAGTATGCAACTTGATGTTATGTTGAGGAGAAACAGAGATATTTCTTCCCTTGTTGCTGGTCAATGTAACGCTGCTCAAAGAAGATCTAAGGAACTTGTCAATGATGCGTAGCGTTTAGTTGGCGCATGTCTTCATTCTCTCTGTTATTTCCAAGGGGGAAAATGCCCAATTTGTCTGTATTAGTGATTCAATCAAATGTTACTGTCAATCGCTTTGACCATATAATTGATTTCGTGGGCCTCGTGTCTTCTTGTTCCCTTCTTTATTTCCCCACTGAATTTTGGAGGAAAGGGTTCAAATCAACTTCCATCATCTTACACTGGGTCCTAAATTTGTGTGTCTCCTTCTTGTTGGAGGAAGATTTATTTTGCTAAACAAGCCTTTACATAGACTTCTACTCCAACATATGGATCGATGATGTCCTTAGTTGAGATCTAAAGTGTACCATTACACCCATGGTTCGCCATATCCGCCCATACTGATACGTATCGGCAGAGTCGTAATTGAAACGGAGGTGACCGTTACGATACCGATTCCCGAATCACGGATATTACCATATCTACGACAATTCGCTCTGACTAGGCGGATATTGGCCGATTCGAATCTGTGATACATAATATCGACCGATATATCTGAGTCAAGTCAGAGTCAATCCGAATTTTTTTAAAAAAATTGTGCATTGTTTGGTATTTTCTAATTTTAACAATTTTTTCAAAATTTTTGGAAATTTTCATGTGTTATAATATGTGTATCATCCGATATTCAACTGATATACTACAACGGATGTGGAACAATTGAAACCGCGACACGATCGCAACCCGCAATAACGAACCATGATTACACCCAACATGCCACAGCCATCCATGTTTAGGTTCAATTGTCATAAAAGATGATAAACAATTAAATGCAGAGGGATTTTTAGACTTACCGCATAGATAATATCCGCAAAACGTTTAGCTACTGTCAGTGTGTAATGTTTCAACAGAAACAATATCCGCGAAACGTTTATGTTGTAATTCATTGTGTTTCATTATCTTTCTTTTTTTTTTTTAACCTTTTTCTATCTCCCATCCTTTGTTTCAACCCTCAAACACCACTACCAAGCATGGCGCAGCTCCGGTGCTCCTCCAACCATATCAAGACCATATTGCCAAATAATTTTTTATGATGGGATGTAAATGAAATTAAAAAAATAATTAAAAAATGAAAAGATGATAATAAAATGTGCTTATGATATAAGCAATAAATTTTATGAGAAAAAAAGTTGCTGAAAAATAAAAATGTTGTCGAAGACCCCAAATTTACTTGTTAATTTTTGCTGCAAACTGCGTCGTGTCCTTGTCAAAACCATATTTATTAAACCCAACCCGGGAAGGAACCCGGCGAAGGGGGTGGGTCAACGGGTTACTGGTTCAACCGGTGGGTGAGTGGTTGAACCGGTGGGTCACTAAATATATTTAAATATTATATTTCATAATTTTTTATATAAGA